TGACGATTTTACCTACTATGATGAGCGAGAGAAATCCTTGCTGGAAAGGAAGGTCAAACAGCTAGCCACTTCATCTGGAAATACAGCTGCTCCTCTCACTGCTGCTGATTCAATAAATCAATTGTCGGATAACCTGGTTGACACTCTCCGTTTGGGCAGCGGTAAAACGCTGCCCAAAACAGATTTGGAGTAGCCAGTGGACTTGAGCTGAAGCAGTTGGGTAAAATTTGACGTTGCTGACGGGGTTCTTTGAGGTTGTATTATGGTTCACCTGAGACCCCCTCTCTATTTATTTCTCTCTCTCACCCCCCCCCCCCCCCCCCCCTTCTGAGTTGGGATTAGTGGCGAACATTTGTGACAGTCCTAATACTTCTGTCCCCTTCAATTGTTAGTTTTTACTTCCAAAAGTAGGTAGCATTTAATCATATAATTCAAGGAGGGTTGTGGATCTTGCTAGCTTGATGCTTTGCGTATTGTACTTTTGGTATTTTCTTTTTAGTTTTAGTTCAAGACAATTATTTTGAACTGCTGTGCAGCAGCCTGTAAAAGCTCCAAAATGGGTGGCAAATTTATTGAAGGAATGAAGCAAATGGATTATAGGCATATGCATTCTACTTTTTGAGGGTGGAAGTGGTAACAGGTTTGATATTTGAATGTTTTGTATCCGTAGCTCATCTTAAAATTATACACCCTTCTAAACCTTGAGAAATAACACGTAAGGTGGTTGAATGTTGAATATTACATACACATACATGTATACAAACCTTGACATGCCTCACCCAGCCCCAAACTTGTAGCTAGTAGAAGAAGAGTTTGGGGTGGGGCATGGTTGGGTTTGTCTACATCATGTCTTTATATTATAACTCTCCACCAAACATGCAAATATCAACCAGTTATCACTTCCACAGGTCACTCATCATTGTGATTTTTACAGATTTGTACTTGTATTTTGGTGTTTTTCTTGCTAATCCTTTGGAGTAAATTATGTATTCATTTCAATACAAGTGAAACCAGAGTTTCTTTTGTAGCATGCTTTTTTTTTCCGTGTCACTCAGCAAAATTTTGTGTAGCTTTCAACTAACCCAATTCATTTGGTACACTGTGAGTCTGTGTTCATGTAGCAACTAGCATTCTTATAACAGTCAAATCTTCTTACAGATTCACCATGTTCTTAATTTTAGGAGTTCACGTCAAGTATGACCATTTGCTCATCCAAAGGCAGACATGAACTTCGCCAGGGGGGCACACAAGATTGGAAAGATGTTTGCCGAAGCAGCAAAAGTCTAATTATAAGTGAAATTTAACAAATAACCCGTTTTAGTTGAAATTAGATAGGGTTGTAAAATAAATAACTAAAATATCTCAACATGATTAATGGTAACTTTTTAGAAGATTGAAAGCTGATGAGCAATATCCTTTCCTTTCCCCTTCTTTAAAGTCAAGCTACTTCGTTCCGAGCTCTATTTATTTTAAGCTTAGCCAAACATGTAACCTGATTCCCTTGAAGCTTTTGCAAAACATTCTTTCACCTTTTTAAACCTATTCAGAATCTGAAATCATACTTCAAAATAATCCTTGGAAACTCACATATTGAAGAGAAATTTTGCCTTTTGCCTAAATGTATCCGTTCGTGTATCCAACTTAGATAAACACTGACATTCAATAATTTTAAAAATCTGATTTAATGCACCTGGTATCAACTACTGCAGCACCTTGCAAAGAACAAAACCCTGCTCTATGCACACAATAGTGCTATATACAAGCTCTAGGTTTACTCATTTACCCAAGCTCCATCATACCCCAACACTCTTCTAAAGTTTAATTTTCAGATTTGAATCCACAGCTTCCACCATAGCGTCATGTTCACTTGGAAAGGACTTAATAATGTGGCTCTGAAGTTCACCACTCTCTTACTCTTATGGAGTTGTAGAGATCAACGTACTTCCCTGCTGTATTATTCCAGCTACTATCGATGCCCATGACCTTCTGTACAATGGCTCTCCATTCATTAGGTTCTGCATCAAGCCCACAATCAAAAACTTTGATTAATAATGGAGATCTCCCATGAGGTGTTCACATAACGTTATGTTATTCATTTGTTGGTGTCAATGAGGTGTTCACAACATCTCACAAAGTAAATATTTTATTTGCAGAAGCCAAAAAAATTAAGCCTGAGAGAGATGTACAAATGTGAGACTGTGGTTGGTTAGATTATTTGAAAACTACAACAAAAATAAGAAATAAGAATTACGACACATGCTGTGTCTGGATTTCATACGGATATTTTGGGTTTACTTGAACTCGAAACTTTGACACGTTCCCTGAATTCAAATACTCCATAAATAATTAGTTGGAGAACTAGGTCGATGAAATTGGACATGATAACAAGAAAAAGAGCAAGAGAGGGAAAACGGCTTTGTTCGAGCATTGTTATTTCAAAATTATGCAGAACTTACTTTCACAATAGTAACAAAACGCACGGTCTAGGGCCCAGTTCAGAGATGCTTCGTCAATTCCTTCAAAAACAAATCTGCAAGAAAAATGAAACCCAAAGAACAAGTACTTCAGTTTCGTTCTAGATGTGTGAATAGCTTGTAAATCATGAGGGTAGTGGCTTCAATGCATAAACATTTTCATAGCCCTCTTGATCAAAAGCATGGCAGTAAAAGGTCAACTTGTTATTCAATCCTCCAAAAAGCAAGCTACACGTGTTTTACAGATCTTGAAAATAACAAAGTCAATGGTGATGGACCATCCACAGGAACTGACTAGAGAAAAATCACCCTTGTCTGACCCAATTAAGAAAAGCCACATTGAAGCACTGTAAAGGTCCTAAAAATGTTAGTTTTAAATAGGCGAATATGGAATGAAAAGATAATTACCCATTTGCAATCTCAGGTTGTGACTGATCATCCATGTCAAAGACAGTGTCCGCAAGACCGCCTGTCTTTCTAACTACAGGAACCTGACATAAACAACAACAACTTACTTGAAGTTTTTCTTCTGGAACTTTCTATCTATTGTAATATGTATATGCAGCAGATAAGACAAGATATTCCTCAACAGGGAATGTCGCATATATGATTGGAGATCAAGCACCTCTAATGAACATATAGGTTAGAACAACACAAGTTTAACTACCCACGGTCACCAGCATTTCATTCAATTGCCTAACTTGTCAGTCAAATAATTTTATGCCTCGTAGTAACTAAGGGATAGCTTTGCCTAAGAATATGTGCATACCGCTCCATAACGCATTCCAATCAGCTGAGCAAGTCCGCACGGCTCATATATTGATGGAACCAACACCATGTCTGCAGCAGCATAAAGCATGTGGGACAATTCCTCGCTGCACAATGCAATAGATATTTAAGTAGCAATACTTCAGTAGGTTTCACTTAGATAGTAAAGATAGTTTCGAGAATGATGTGTCACGGTAAACATGAGAAGACATTAGATAAGCATCCAAGCGCAAATGCAAGATGTTGGGAAGATTCTGAGAAGATAAGGATGCCTGAATAAGTTGGGGTGTGAAGGAAACTTACCTATACATCAGAAGGATCCGGATGCTGGAACCATCATTATGCTACAAAAAAGGTTTATTAACTTTGTGAGCTTGATGTGTTGATTGTATAAATTTGGCAATAAGAGGGAAAAAATTATACAGTTTATTTCTTGCAAGGGTGAATATGAACTGTTGGGACATTTGAATCGTGATTTGATATACTTAAAGCTATATCATCACGACAGTTGATTGGTTTATCAAGGCATCAGGGATTGTTTCATCTCCCTTTAGTGATGGTTTACTCGAGATATCATTCAAAATGGCAACGAACAATTCAAAAGTTGATTCGCTATTGTAAAACAAAATCAAGAGTTAATATCAGTATGGGAAGCTGAATGGCAAAATATGGATAAGTATATTTACAGTCGAATTGTTATTCCAGCACCAAGCAAGTCAACTATTTTCCCTTCTATTTCTCTCTCTCCTTTGAGAATATATTAACTAAAAGCAAAACCAAATTGCTATGGCTTCCATCAATATGATATCTAAATTACTTAACTATCAGTATTATTTGTTCATCGTAGTTCCTTTTCTTTTTCTCAGTGTTCATAACAAAAACATAGACTCACTCCTCTGAACGTGGATGTATACCGGATAGGTCTATTCCAAACAAATATTCTCTAGCACATGTTGGTGAACATGGAGTTATTTAATACAGTGTTCAATAAACCGGAAGCATATGAAGGGGTGTTATTGATGCAACAGGCAGATGGCAACTTTTTTTACTATTGCTGTTATTTTATTTTATTTTATTATGTAGGCGTCTTCTATGATGCTCGGACTCGAGTACGGGAACAAGGTACGAGTACGTATCTGATAGGCTCCCATACACCTCACTCATTCTAGAAGGGAATAGAAGAATTTACTGGCAAGTGTGGGAGGGAAAACTGAATTCTGTTAGACAGTAGATCTATAAATAAGGGTAGAAGCTAGGAGATAGGGCATGCAAAGTATTGAGTATTGGTTTATCCAATTGGGAGAGTTACAGCCCTCTCGAATGGCTGATGGTGTCTTTCATTTTGTAATTCCATTTCTATCCAGTTAAATACAAGAGTTATTTCCTGTTTTACTTGTTCTGTTCATGTGAACCAGCTGGGATCTTATCAAAGTGGTATTAGAGCATTCGATTCTAGGGAGAATGGCAAGGGGTTATGGATTGGATTCGGTAGGTAGAGTAGACATATCATTGATATCAATATTCTATGATGGCGATCCAGATTGGTGGCTAGGGAAAGCAGATGAAATCTTCACAAGGAACCAATTGTCAGAGAGGGAAAAAGTGCAAGCAGCTACGGTATGTTGGTTGGGTGAAGCTTGGGAGTGGTTTCAGAAGGTCGATCGAGAACAACCTGTGCAAACTTGGAGAGAATTGAAAGGCTTGATGATCGACAGATTTCGACCGTCTCAGGAGAGACATTAGCTAGAGGTACAGGAAGATTTGAAATCAGAAATAGAGAAGGTGATGTCTCACATGTTGGAGAAGTTCGATTACATGATAGAAAAAGTGCGGGCGGTAGGGAAAGGTCCAGCAACGGCATCGCCCGAAACTATCTTCAATTCTGAAAATATACCGGAATTAGATGAAATTGGGGCGATTCCTGAAAGCCATACACTGGACAGATCTGAAA